TCTCCTTTCCTAGAGCCCGAGTTACAACCCACCCCACAGCTGGAGAGGGGGGAAAAGGCTACACAGCAGCAAAACCCTGCGGCTGTTTGGGCAGCACCGTTTGTCCGTACCTCAAACTCCCGGGAAAGCAGGATGAAGGACATTTCTCACAGTGGAATGACTTGCTGCAGCACCCAAGGTGGGTTTCCCTGGCAGCAGGAAGTCCTTGCAGTGACAATGCAAGCCCTGCTCCCCCTGGGGTACTATTTATAGCCTGGAATGCTGAGCAGCTTCACCTGGAGCCTCCCCACCAGCTGGCATGGGCCTGGGCTCTGAGTTCAGTCCTGGGCACTCCTTGTTGAAGCTGTTCTGGGGACAGGGTCACCCAGCTCTGTTCAGGCAGCTCATCCCTGCAGTGAATTACATGGGCTTGTAGTTCCTCGATAAACAAACAACTCCTCCTGCATTGTTTAAAATCACAGAATGGTTTGGGTTGGAAGTGACCTTAAAGCTCACCCAGTGCTCTCAGCACTTTCCAGCAGCCAGCTGGGTAGATTCGTTCCTCTTGGGATGGGGATTAAGGATATCTCTGCAGAGGTCTGTGCTCTGGAGCCTTTGTCCCCTGAAGCATGAGTCAGAGGCTGCAGGCAGCCCCAGGCAGTTGCATTTGCTCCCAGATTAATGAGGATGATAAAACAAGGGTGGATAGATCAGGATCAGGACCCAGAAGGAGAATGGCCAACCTACCAGAGTCCTCATATCCTCACAAATTGTGTCCTTAGTGCTGCAGCCAGACTTGGGAGAGCACTGAGCAGCTGCTGGTGTGTCGGGGGCACAGGTGGGCTGGTGGGGAATTTCTCTGGGCTGGGAACTGACCCTGCTCCTCTTGGCACAGGGCACAGGTGGGACAGCAGAGAGCACATGGTCTGGGAGTCCCGCCAGGACAGGGAGCTGGGCGCCTGTCCCAGGGAGAGCCCATCCCTCCAGAGCCGCTTCACCACCCTGACCATCACCAGGGAGCCTGGGAGCAAGCACAGAGCCAAGGATGGAGCTGTGGGAACCAGCCAGGGATGTGCCAGCGCCAGCAGTGGAGCAGCCACCACCACCACCATGCTGTTTGAACCCAGTGGAGATGGGCAAACCCCGCAGGTCATGGTGCTGGTGGGCGCCCCAGGGATGGGGAAGACAACGATGGTCAGGAAGGTGATGGTGGAGTGGGGAGATGGGGCACTCCACACGCAGTTTGACTTTGTCTTCTGCATTGACTGCAAAGCCATCGTCCTTCCCATGGAAGCCAGCATGACAGACCTGGTTTCATGGTGCTGTCCTGGCCTGCAAGTGCCAGCTGGGAAGATCCTGGATGACCAGAAGAAGATCCTGTTCATTTTTGATGGCTTCGAGGCCCTGGGGTTCTCCTTGGTTCAGCCTGAAGCTGAGCTGAGCTCTGACCCCAGGGAGGTGAAGCCACTGGAGCTCACCCTGATGAGCTTGTTGAAGAAGACTCTGCTCCCCAAAGCCTCTTTGCTCATCACCATGAGGCCAACAGCTCTTGGAAGCCTGAGGCAGTGCCTGAAGGGTGAGAATTATGTGGAGATACTGGGATTTTCAGCAGCCAGGAGGGAGGAGTATTTCCACAGGTATTTTGAGAACCCCAACAAAGCAGACATGGCCTTCAGGTTTGTCAGAGGCAACGAGATCCTCTATAGCTTGTGTGTCATCCCTATCATGAGCTGGACCATCTGCACCATCCTTGAACAAGAGCTTTGTGGGAAGAAAAACCTCCTTGAGTGCTCCAAAACCACCACAGGGATGATAATGTTCTACCTCTCCCAGTTACTGAAGCACAGGGACAGGGACAACCCACAGGTCCTCCAGCAATTCCTACTCCAGCTTTGCTTCTTGGCAGCCGAGGGTATTTGGAAGCACAAGGTCCTCTTTGAGGAGAAGGAAATCAAGGACTGTGGCTTGGACCTGCCAGGTCTTCTCCCCTATTTCCTCAATGAAAGAATACCAAGGGAAGGAGAAGACCATGAGAGTGTCTATGCTTTCACCCATCTGCACCTCCAGGAGTTTTTTGCAGCAATGTTTTACGTTCTGGAGGATGATGGGGAAACGATCAGCAGCCTGGGGAGGCTTGAAAAGAACGTAAATAAATTGTTAGAAAGCTACAACAAGTCCAGAAAGGATTTGAATGTAACAGTGCGATTCCTCTTTGGTCTGGTCAGCCAGAAATCCATAGAGTACATGGACAATACCATTGGGTGCAGAATTTCACCACGAGCCAGGGAAGAGCTGCTGGAGTGGCTTCAGGGGAGGCACAGAGGCCTCTCTCACCCTGGCCAAGCACTGAAGGTTTCGGAGATGGACACTTTCCACTTCTTGTTCGAGATGAACGAGAAGAGCTTTGCACAAAGCGCATTGAGTCATTTCACTGACCTGGACTTGCAGGACACCAGGCTGACCCTGTATGACCAGATGGCTCTTTCCTTCTGCATCCAGCACTGGACTGGGCTGGGCTCCATCACCCTCCAAGGATGCTCCTTCCACTGGCAGGATCCTGAGGCAGAGCTGGATGTGTCAGTGCCTTGGTAAGTCCTGCTCCTCCTTGCTTTAATGACCCAAAACTGCAAAGATTTCTCTTCCTCTGTCCCAAAGGATGATTCAGCTCCTCCTTCCTGAACACCAGTTTGGCCTTTCCCTGGGTGTTAGGTTCTGCAGCAGAGGATTTACTTATTCTTGGGGAGAATAAGGAACACGTGGGCTCCTCCATCCGCTGCTTACTGTGGGATTGATAGTGATGGAGCTTCTTGGCTCGACCTAGCAAGGCCCACCTCTGGCCAGCTGTCACTCAAAGTTCCCATCATCCCCCTTCTCCCTTGAAAAGGGGGATCCCTTGTGCTGGAATGTTAAATGCGCCCTGTGACTCACCTTACATCTCCGGGTGGCTCCAGCAGCAATGCTTGAGGTCCTTCACTCCTCCAAAGCCGCAAAGGTCCCTCTGGAGGAGCTGGAGGTTCTGCTCGGGGTGGGGGGGTTGTGTGCTGGTGTCAGAACCGCGAGCAGCCACCACTGCAGTTCTGTTTCCCTGCAGCTCTGGAGTCTCGGGAGCCGGAGGACATCCTGGTGCCCTCATCGCGCGGCGGCGGGAGGAGCTGCCCTGCCCCATCCACCTGCTCTGCCGCGCTCTGCGGCACCGAGACAGTGCCCTGCAGGTGCTCCGGTGAGAGACGCACGTGGAGCCCAAACCAGGGCTGGGATGCGGGCTGGGGGTGGGGGCACCCAGACCACAGTGCAGGGGGTGAGTGGGTTGTTGCTGCCCCGCTGCTCCCTGGGGACAATGGCCAGGAGCCAGGGGGAGGCCAGGCCCTCTTTACCTGAGGGTTTGGTGGGCAGGTGAGCAGCCAGGACAGCTGGGATGTGCTGAGCCCCTGCTCTCCGTGCTCTCCCGCAGGCTGCAGTGGTGCCGGCTGTCCGAGAGCTGCTGTGCAGAGCTGGCAGCACTGCTGGCGGAGCACCCGGGCCTGGCCCAGCTGGAGCTGGCTGACAGCTCGCTGGGTGACAGTGGCGTGCGCCTCCTCTGTGAGGGGCTGCGGACTCCAGGCTGCCGCCTGCGCATCCTGCGGTGAGCACCCCCAGAGTCCCTCGGGACTCTCAGACCTGAGAGCTCCGGAAACACCAAAGAGGGTCCCCCTGGGGTGGCGTGGTGCCTCTGTCTCACACATCAGGCCAAGGAGCACCAAGGTTGTGGCATGAGGGTGGGGAACGCCACCATGGTGGGAAGGCAGTAGGAGCACTCAGGAGGCTCTGAGGGTTTTCCCGGGGTTCCCATCAGGCTGCGGTATTCCCGCATCACCAGTGCCAGCTGCGAGGACCTCGCCGCTGTGCTGGGCACCAACACCTGCCTGGAGGAGCTGGATTTGTCCTTCAGCGAGGGCCTGCGCGATGCCGGCGTGGAGCTGCTGTGTGAGGGGCTCCAGCACTGTGCCTGCCCGCTACAGACACTGCGGTAAAGTGGCTGCAGGATGGGCAAGTGCTCCCTCCTTCTTATGCAGAGCTTTCTCCTTCCCACCTGGAGCAGCTCAGCAAGCAGAGGCCAAAGCCCTCCTTCCCTCTTTCTCTCGCTCCCACAGGCTGGGCAGCTGCCGGCTGTCGGGCGCCTCCTGCCCGGCCCTGGCTGCGCAGCTGCTGCAGGGGCCCCGTCTCAGCTGCCTGGACCTGAGCGACAACGAGCTGCGAGCCCAGGGCGTCCTGCAGCTCTGCCAGCAGCTCCGGCATCCCGCCTGCCCGCTGAGGAGCCTGGGGTGAGTCGGGGCCCTGCCCCGGCCCCTTCCATGCCCGGCAGGCCCGAGCCGGGCAGCGGAGGCCGCGGGACAGGCAGGGCCGCACCGGCACCGCGGCCGCTGCAGCACCTCCCTCCCCACAAGCTCCAACACCTTCTCCTCTGCTCCTGCCTCCTCCACGCCCAGGCTGAGCACGGACGGATTCAGCCAGGCCCTGCTGCAGGAACTGGACGCCCTCCGGGCCCTGCAGCCCGGCCTGAACATCGGGAACCTCCTGGAGCACGACGTGCCGCAGGCTGGGGCCATGGCCCGGCTGCCCTGCCACCGCGGGGTGCTGCCGGGGGGCAGGAAGGCACTGCCCTCCTTCAGGAGACCTCCCATCCTTTAGGAACATCCTTCCAACAACCAGAGCCACTCCTGGCCCGGCTCTCTGTGCTGAGAGTGGGGCTGAGCCTTCCTCAGCCTCGGGGCACAGGGAGGAGATCCTGCTGCATCTGCAGGGGGGCGGGATCCGGGATCTGCCCTCTCCCTTTTGCCCTCGTTGTTGCTGGCAGCAGTTGTATGCATTTGGCAGTGACAAATAAAGACTCTGCAGACAATTCCAGCCATCTCCCACTACTTCTCCCCCTCAGGCAACCATTGCCAAGCTTGGGTCTGTGGTTCCAGTTCCTGCCTCATATCCTTGTGCCTGGCTGGTGTACCTTGGATGGAAGTGCCAGCCCCAGAATGATGTTCCAGGCCTGGGAGTGAGTCTCTGACCAGTTTGGATTTTAATATGAAAAAAGGGAAAATCACACTGAAATCAAAGATAATCCCTGCACAGGAGCTCTTTTCCTGCAGCTCTGGACGGCGAGGGCTGACCTCTGTGGGCAGGGCCAGCCACCCCTGGGGACAGGGCCCCCCCACACTGCCACACGTGTCCCGGGTGCTGTGGCATGGCCAGGACATCCTCATGGCAACGTCCCCAGGGCGCTGCTGCCGACATCATCATAGTCCATGTGTCCAAGGGGCTGTTCAGAGGGCTCCCTGGTGGCTCCTGGGACACGTGGAGGGGAGTAGATGCCACCTTGGGGACAGCACAGAAAGGTGCCTGAGGGCGCAGGCAGCTCCGTGTCCCCCTGACAGACCCCACCTGGGCTCTGGCCACAGCAGCCGTGGATCTGCTGCTGGAGCCCTGCCTGCCCCCACAGCCAAAGCCTGCCATGGAGTGGCTCTGCACAGGGGACAGGGCAGCTGGGAGCCCTCTCACCTGTGGGCAGCACACAGATCCACCTCTGCCGTGCCACTCCCTCGGAGATGTCCCCAGTGCTGGCAGCGGGGGGCTCCTGGGCCACATCCAGGACATCGTCGTAGCCATCCGGGGGTCCTTGCTCGGGCCGGGCAGGGGGATCTGGGAAAAGCAGAGGGGTCCATGGCAGTGACCAGCGGCCCTGGCAGGGCTCAGGCTGTGTCACCCCCTCCAGCCTTTCCATTTTGGCACGAGCTGGAGGCCTTTGTGTCCCACAGGGACAGGTGATGTTTCACTGCACATTAATAAGGGAGGAGATTTGCCCCCTCAACCTCTCCCAGCGCAGGTGTGTCCCTGTCCACAGCTTTCCCTGCTGGCCTCCTGCCCTGTGGCCCTACCTGGGGCTGCCTCAGTGTCACTCCCCTCCACGCTGTCCCCGGTGTTATACGGCAGCTTCTTCACCCATCCCTCCAACAGGGAACCTGCAGGGCATAAACAGGGACTTGGGGGGGGCCTCACCGCCGGTGACAGAACCTCACACCGCAGAGCGGGGCTGCTCTGGGACCGAGGGACACCCACAGCCCATGGCCAGCAGCCCCTGCTGGGCCACCAGGAGCCACAGCTGCCCTGGGGCTCTCAGGCAGAGCCTTCACTGCGGGCACAGCTGGGGCACCAGGGCTGCACCCACCTGGGGGAGTGGGCACCTCCTGGTACTCGGGCATGGCTTTGTAATCCAGCTCCTCGTAGACAGCGTTGGAGATGGCATCTGCAGCTCTGCCAGGGCCTGCAAGGAGATGCAGCACTTACCTGGGGCCCTGGGCACTCTGGGGGCACCAGGATCACCCCTGGCCCCCTTCTGAGCTGTTCTGCAGGCCTGGGGTCCCTGGACCCCCTAAACGGGATCTGTCCCCACCCCCACCCACCGGGACCCACCTCGGCGCCGGGCACGGCACAGCAGCAGGGCCAGGGCACCCAGGGACAGGCACAGCAGCGTCCCCAGCACCACGCACAGCACAGTGGGCACGGACACAGACCCCACGGCCACTGCCTGGGGCCGCCTTCTGGGGACACCTGTGGGGACACAGGCAGGCAGTGAGGCCAGGGGGAGCCCAGCCAGCCTGCTCTGGGGGATGCAGGCACGGGCAGAGCTACCTGTGCTGGTGGCACCCTCCGGATATGGGGTAGTGTGTCCCTCAGTGGTGCCATCACTGTGCTCCTCACACTCCACATAGGCGTGCCCGCCTGGGCTGCAGCTCTGCAGGTGCCAGGGCGCCGAGGGGCACTGCCAGAGCGAGCGGGCCCCGTCCTCACAGCCCACCCAGGCCAGCCAGGCCTCGGTCGGCTCCTGGGCGGAGACTGCTGTGAGCGAGACCCAGCGCCCACAGCCCAGCTGGCGGCAGACAGTGGCGGCAGTGCCATTGCTGGTGCCGTTGGCGCACACGCGGCCCCAGGTGCCGTTGTAGGAGATCTCCAGGAAGCCCCGGCAGCGCCCAGGGCCCCCTGCCAGCCGCACGGAGAGCTGCTCTGCAAGGGGGACAGCGGGGTCACGGCACGGCCAGGAACCCGCCGGCGCCTCTGCCGGGCCCTGATCCGGGGCTGCCCCGCACTCACCTGAGCACACGGCCCCTGCCCCGCCGCCGCGCCCGCACTCGCGCCGTTCCGTGCGCCCGCACTCCCACAGAGACTCCTCGGAGCCGGAGCACTCGGGGCTGTACGGCCACAGCGGCCCCGGGCCGCCACCCAAGCGCGCCCAGCCCGGGGCCTGCAGCGCCGTGCCACAGCCCAGCTCCCGGCACACAACGGCCGCGTCCTGCAGCTCCCAGCCTTCCTGGCACACCCAGCTCCAGCTGCCACCGGAATAGACCTCCACACGCCCGGCACAGCGCCCAGAGCTCCCCACCAGCCTCACCCGCAGGCTGCCTGTGGGCACGGAAGGAGTGGGCTGGGGTGGCTGCCTGGGGCCACGGCACCTCCAGCCCTTTCGGGAAACCCACCTGAGCAGACAAGGCAGGTCCCATGACGGCCGTCAGCTGTTGAAGTGGTCATGTAATAAGTTTCACCGTCAGGTATAGTCCGACTGGGCAGATCAGTGGTCTTCCGCTTAATGTCCTCGATCACTGTTTCCAAGATGTCCCAGTCCTCTCTGCTAATTTGCCACAGTTCGGATGTTCCACGGAAAGCTTTACTCTTCTCCAGTCCTCCACAGCCCATCTTCCAGCACACATTGCTCAAATTCCGTATGAGCAAAACCTCTCCTGGCACACGGCGCCAGGCCCCGGTGCTTGTCTTCGAATCCAGAAACCCCTCGCACCGGGTCTCACCCTTCACCAGCCGCAGGGACTCAACAGCGCCTGTAAAATAGCCGCACTGAGAACTTCATCAAAAAATAAGCGTACATCATCTCATACCTGCTCCACTTTTGGGAGGGTCCCAAAAGGTCTTAAGGCTCCTCACAGAGTGCCGTACACACCTGAGCAGTTGACGGCGGCGGCGTTCCCGGGGGCACAGGGCGGCTTCCCCAGCACGGCCACGGGGCACTGGCCCGGGTGCCGCTCGCTCCCGCTGCAGCCGAAGGCGTCCGGCCGCAGCGGCCCCTCCCCGCTGCCGAAGGAGCCTCCCGGCAGCACGCTGAGGGCGCGGCCGCAGCCCACGTGGCGGCACAGGACGTGCGCATCGGCCAGGTCCCACTCGCTGGCGCACACGGAGCCCCACGTCCCCCTCACTGCCACCTCCACTCGCCCGGAGCATCCCGAGCTGCCGTTCCCCAGCCGGAAGCCCGTGTAGGCTGCCACAGGAACAGCCTTGAGAACACTGGTGCTGCCGGGACCCCAACTGCCCCCGCTGTCCCCGACACTTACAGGAGCAGATGACGCTGCCAGGGCGGCTGCAGCCCTGGCTCTGGGCCGGACGCCGGGCACAGGCGCTGAGGCGGGGCTCGGTGCCATTGCACTGGAAGCCCCCGTCCCAGAGCGATCCCGACACTGCCCCTAAACAGCCACTGCCGGCGATGGCGATCACCTCACCACAGCCCAGCTCCCTGCACACCACCTGGGCCACCTCCGTGTCCACCTGATCCTCACAGACACCGACCCAGGCCCGGCCCTGACGCACCTCCAGCCGCCCAGCACAGGATCCATCGCCACCAACCAGCCGGGAAAAGCCTGTGGGAGCAGTGCAGGGCCAGTGACAAGCGATGTGCATGAACAGCCTCAAGCCCCCAAGCCCAGCTCCTACCTTGGCAGACAACGCCAACGTCCGAGACATTGATACTGCTATTATAGGGTCCCCAGCCACGGATCTCGCAGTCCCAGAGCATGGCCTCGTCCCCTCTGCAGTCCACCAGGGCCAGGCTGACGAACCCATCCCCGACACCAAAGCGCTCGTGGGTGTAGTAGGCAGCGGAAGCCGAGCCACAGCCCAGCTGCTGGCAAACCACCTCGGCGTCCTCCATGTCCCAGTTGTCGTCTCCCACTGTGCCCCAGTGGCCCTGCAGCTTCACCTCCACCCTCCCGGCACAGGGACTGCCGCCGCCCGCCAGCCTCAGCTCCACGGCATCTGCACAGGGGCACCGGCACGGCTCACACCAGCCCGCGGCGCCCCAGCACGAGGCAGCTGTGCCGGCACGGCCAGCGTGTCCCCTCACCTGTGCAGGTCACCCCCACATCCCGCTCGTGGCCGCAGAAATGCCGTCCCCATCCGAAGTTAGGACACTGCTCCAGCGCATCCTCGGTGCCGTTGCAGAAGAAGGGCTGCAGCCAGATCCGCCCGCTGCCCGGCCCGAACGGGGCGTGCAGGGACGCCCTGGCCACCCGGCCGCAGCCCAGCTGCCGGCACACCACCACGGCCCAGCGAGCCTCCCAGTCGAAGTCGAAGGCGCACACGGAGCCCCACTCACCGCCGTGCTTCACCTCCACGCGCCCGGCACAGCGCCCGCCGCCGCCCACCAGACGCAGCTCCCCGGAGCCTGCGGCACGGAGGCTGCTGAGCCGGGCCCGCCGCCGCCGCGGGCCCCGCTGCCGCCCGCCCGACACTCACCCCCGCACAGCCGCACGCACACGAGCAGCCCCAGAGCCAGCAGCGGCCCCATGGCCAGCGGCCCCGGAGCCAGCGGAGCCACGGCACCTCTGCCAGCGCCCGAGCCAATGCACGCTGCAGCAGCAGCACCGGGGGCAGCAGCCTTTATCAGGCGCCTCATCTCCCGGCTGCGGGGCCGCGGCCTCCAATAACCTGCTCCGTGCCCAAATATGAGCCTCGCCTGCGCCTCTGCCGTCACACACCTCGCCACAGTGGGCTGCCACCCGGATGTCCCCGGGGGGAGACAGCCCCCCCACAGCACCTGCCCTGCGGCGGCCCCTCCCGCATCCCCCGGGGCTCCAACGCTGCTGCTGCTGCTGCTGCTGGAGCCTGCCCAGAGCCCCCCTGATGGGGAGCACGGGCTCCAGCCCACATCCTACCGACAGCATCCACACAACCACTTCTAGGCAAGGCACCTGCAAAGCTCAAAGGCCCACGCCCGGGGCGCTCCCCTCCCGGCGGCTCGGAGCCCCCGGGGGGGTGGCAGCAGCCCCCGGCTCTCGGCGGGGCTGCCAGCTGCCCGGTCCCTCGCGGCGGCGCTGCCACATGGCGCTGCTGCCGCAGCTGCGGCCCCGCGCTCGCCTCGCCCCAGGGCAGGAAGGAGGCGGTCACCCCCCGGCGGCTCCCGGCCTCGCCAGCGACCGCACGCTCCTCCCGACACCTGCGCTGCCGCCGACAGCGACGCGCCGCCGCCGCCCCGGGCCCCCGCAGCCCGCCAGCCGCGCACGGCAGGAAACGTCCCGGGCTCACCCTTCGCAGGACTCTCCGGCAGCGCATTCCCTACGCACCGATCCGCTTGCTCCGATGGCTCTGACACCCATTCACAGCTGCGGCTCCACTGATCCCCGCTGGCCCCAGACGTTCCCCAAACACCCACGGCCACACACTCGGAACCCACATTTCCTCACCTCTTCCACTCCAGCTTTACCATGGCACATCCGCGGGTGACTCCCTCTCTAAAATTGAGTGCTGCTGCCGCAGGAACGCAGAAACAGCCCGAGTACTGCCTCCCAGGAGTGTCCCAGGCAAAGAGAGAAGGCTTTGAGCCTCTCACATTCCAAGCACAAAACGTCCGCTCTAAACTCTCTCTTCCTCCCGGTCTTCCTCTCCCGCTGTCTCTCTCAGTGTCCCTCACCTGGCCGGGATCCCGCTCTCCTCGGCCCTTTGTTATGCAAACGATCGGCACCTCCCGGACTCTCGTCCCGGGCTCCCGCGCAGAGCAAACGGAGCCGCTGGAACTGCAGCTGCTGCCCACGCACCGGCAGCGCGGCCATTGCTGCCCGGCACCACGTCCCGGTCCCTCGCTGTGCGGCGGCGGCAGGAGCTGCCCTGCCCCATCCCCCCGCGCTGCCGGGCCCCGCGGCACCGGGCCCTGTCCGGGCCTGCTCCGCTCACACACGCACGCACCGCACGGAGCCCGCACCGGGCCACCCGCACCAGAGTGCACTGCCTGGGTGGGTGGCTGGCTGCTGGCCCGGCCACGGCGGACAGGAGATCTCCGAGTGCACGGACACAACTCGGAGCCCTGAGGAGGCTCTGAAGGCTCTTACCGACGGTTCTCATTGGGCTGCGGGATTGCCGCCTCAGCAGCCCCTGCTGCTGCTGCTGCTCGAGCACCTCAGCCGCTGCTCCGCCCTTCCCACCTGGAGCAGCTCAGCAAGCAGAGGCCAAAGCCCTCCTTCCCTCTTTCTCTCGCTCCCACAGGCTGGGCAGCTGCCGGCTGGCGGGCACCTCTTGCCCGGCCCTGGCTGCGCGGCTGCTGCAGGGGCCCCGTCTCAGCTGCCTGGACCTGAGCGACAACGAGCTGCGAGCCCAGGGTGTCCTGCAGCTCTGCCAGCAGCTCCGGCATCCCGCCTGCCCGCTGAGGAGCCTGGAGTGAGTCAGGGCCCTGCCCCGGCGCCTTCCATGCCCGGCAGGCCCGAGCCGGGCAGCGGAGGCCGCGGGACAGGCAGGGCCGCACCGGCACCGCGGCCGCTGCAGCACCTCCCTCCCCACAAGCTCCAACACCTTCTCCTCTGCTCCTGCCTCCTCCACGCCCAGGCTGAGCACGGACGGATTCAGCCAGGCCCTGCTGCAGGAACTGGACGCCCTCCGGGCCCTGCAGCCCGGCCTGAACATCGGGAACCTCCTGGAGCACGACGTGCCACAAGCCGGGGCCATGGCCCGGCTGCCCTGCCACCGCGGGGTGCTGCCGGGGGGCAGGAAGGCGCTGCCCTCCTTCAGGAGACCTCCCATCCTTTAGGAACATCCTTCCAACAACCAGAGCCACTCCTGGCCCAGCTCTCTGTGCTGAGAGTGGGGCTGAGCCTGCCCCACCCGTGGGGCACGGGGAGGAGATCCTGCTGCATCTGTGGGGCGGAATCTGGGTCCTGCCCTCTCCCTTTTGTCCTCGTTGTTGGTGGCAGCAGTTGCATGCATTTGGCAGTGACAAATAAAGACCCTGCAATCCCAGAAATCTCCTGGGCTATTCACCCTCAGCCCACCATTCCCAGGGATGTGTCTGTGGTTCCAGTTCCTGCCCTGAATCCCCAATGAATGGTTGATACACTCTTTATACAGGTACCCATGCCAAAATAAGGTTCCTGGTCTGGGAATGAGTCTCTGACCAGTTTGGGTTTTAATAGGAAAATAGGGAAAATCACACTGAAATCAAAGATAATCCCTGCACAGGAGCTCTTTTCCTGCAGCGCTGGACAGTCAGGGCTGATCTCTGTGGGCAGGGCCAGCCATCCCTGGGGACAGGGCCCCCCCACACTGCCACACATGTCCCTGGTGCTGTGGCATGGCCAGGACATCCTCATGGCAACATCCCCAGGGCGCTGCTGCCGACATCATCATAGTCCATGTGTCCAGGGGGCTGTTCCGAGGGCTCCCTGGTTGCTCCTGGGACACGTGGAGGGGAGTAGATGCCACCTTGGGGACAGCACAGAAAGGTGCCTGAGGGCGCAGGCAGCTCCGTGTCCCCCTGACAGACCCCACCGGGGCTCTGGCCACAGCAGCCATGGATCTGCTGCTGGGGCCCTGCCCGCCCCCACAGCCAAAACCTGCCATGGAGTGGCTCTGCACAGGGGACAGGGCAGCTGGGAGCCCTCTCACCTGTGGGCAGCACACAGATCCACCTCTGCCGTGCCACTCCCTCGGAGATGTCCCCAGTGCTGGCAGCCGGGGGCTCCTGGGCCACATCCAGGTCATCATCGTACCTGTCCGGGGGTCCTTGCTCGGGCCGGGCAGGGGGATCTGGGAAAAGCAGAGGGGTCCATGGCAGTGACCAGCAGCCCTGGCAGGGCTCAGGCTGTGTCAACCCTTCCAGCCTTTCCATTTCGGCTTGACCTGATGGCCACTGGGTCCCACAGGGACAGGCGATGTTTCAGTGCACACTAACAAGGGGGGGAAGTGTCCCCTCAGTCCCCACCAGCACAGGTATGTCCCTGTCCCCAGCTCTCCCGGCTGGGCCCCTGCCCTGTGGCCCTACCTGGGGCTGCCTCAGTGTCACTCCCCTCCACGCTGTCCCCGGTGTAATACGGCAGCTTCTTCACCCATCCCTCCAACAGGGAACCTGCAGGGCATAAACAGGGACTTGGGGGGGGCCTCACCGCCGGTGACAGAACCTCACACCGCAGAGCGGGGCTGCTCTGGGACCGAGGGACACCCACAGCCCATGGCCAGCAGCCCCTGCTGGGCCACCAGGAGCCACAGCTGCCCTGGGGCTCTCAGGCAGAGCCTTCACTGCGGGCACAGCTGGGGCACCAGGGCTGCACCCACCTGGGGGAGTGGGCACCTCCTGGTACTCGGGCATGGCTTTGTAATCCAGCTCCTCGTAGACAGCGTTGGAGATGGCATCTGCAGCTCTGCCAGGGCCTGCAAGGAGATGCAGCACTTACCTGGGGTCCTGGGTACTCTGGGGGCACCGGGATCACCCCTGGCCCCCTTCTGAGCTGTTCTACAGGCCTGGGGCCCCTGGACCCCCCAAACGGGATCTGTCCCCACCCCCACCCACCGGGACCCACCTCGGCGCCGGGCACGGCACAGCAGCAGGGCCAGGGCACCCAGGGACAGGCACAGCAGCGTCCCCAGCACCACGCACAGCACAGTGGGCACGGACACAGACCCCACGGCCACTGCCCGGGGCCGCCTTCTGGGGACACCTGTGGGGACACAGGCAGGCAGTGAGGCCAGGGAGAGCCCAGCCAGCCTGCTCTGGGGGATGCAGGCACGGGCAGAGCTACCTGTGCTGGTGGCACCCTCCGGATATGGGGTAGTGTGTCCCTCAGTGGTGCCATCACTGTGCTCCTCACACTCCACATAGGCGTGCCCGCCTGGGCTGCAGCTCTGCAGGTGCCAGGGTGCCGAGGGGCACTGCCAGAGCGAGCGGGCCCCGTCCTCACAGCCCACCCAGGCCAGCCAGGCCTCGGTCGGCTCCTGGGCGGAGACTGCTGTGAGCGAGACCCAGCGCCCACAGCCCAGCTGGCGGCAGACGGTGGCGGCAGTGCCGGGGCTGGTGCCGTTGGCGCACACGCGGCCCCAGGTGCCGTTGTAGGAGATCTCCAGGAAGCCCCGGCAGCGCCCAGGGCCCCCTGCCAGCCGCACGGAGAGCTGCTCTGCAAGGGGGACAGCGGGGTCACGGCACGGCCAGGAACCCGCCGGCGCCTCTGCCGGGCCCTGATCCGGGGCTGCCCCGCACTCACCTGAGCACACGGCCCCTGCCCCGCCGCCGCGCCCGCACTCGCGCCGTTCCGTGCGCCCGCACTCCCACAGAGACTCCTCGGAGCCGGAGCACTCGGGGCTGTACGGCCACAGCGGCCCCGGGCCGCCACCCAAGCGCGCCCAGCCCGGGGCCTGCAGCGCCGTGCCACAGCCCAGCTCCCGGCACACAACGGCCGCGTCCTGCAGCTCCCAGCCTTCCTGGCACACCCAGCTCCAGCTGCCACCGGAATAGACCTCCACACGCCCGGCACAGCGCCCAGAGCTCCCCACCAGCCTCACCCGCAGGCTGCCTGTGGGCACGGAAGGAGTGGGCTGGGGTGGCTGCCTGGGGCCACGGCACCTCCAGCCCTTTCGGGAAACCCACCTGAGCAGACAATGACCATCTCCTCAAGGCTGCTGTTCACTGCAGGACCCATTCCTGAGACATCACCCATCTCCTCCAGCTGGTAATCCATCTCCTCAGGGCTGCTGGTCAGTGCAGAGCCCATGCCCATAACACTGTCCATCTCTTCAGTAATGATGTCCACCTCGCTGCGGCTGCTGCTCAATACTGGAGCCGTACCCAAGGTAGTGTAAACGTCCTTGGGAAGGCCACAGCCGAGCACCGCACACACCATGTACACATCCCATAACTTCCACTGCTCCAGAGGCACACGGCGCCAGGCTGGGCTGGTTATGCTCTCCTCCAGCCGCCCATCACAGAAGCTCTGACCATCCACCAGCCTCAGGGTCGTGACAAAGCCAACACCTGCAGAATCAACAGCAGAGCCATGGGGCTGTGGCACCTGATTCACACTGCACTTCAGTCCAAAATATCTGCTCACAATTCTTAACAGGGTCCCAAAGGCCCTTAAGGCTCCTCACACAGCACCCGAACCCACCTGAGCAGTTGACGGCGGCGGCGTTCCCGGGGGCACAGGGCGGCTTCCCCAGCACGGCCACGGGGCACTGGCCCGGGTGCCGCTCGCTCCCGCTGCAGCCGAAGGCGTCCGGCCGCAGCGGCCCCTCCCCGCCGCCGAAGGAGCCTCCCGGCAGCACGCTGAGGGCGCGGCCGCAGCCCACGTGGCGGCACAGGACGTGCGCATCGGCCAGGTCCCACTCGCTGGCGCACACGGAGCCCCACGTCCCCCTCACTGCCACCTCCACTCGCCCGGAGCATCCCGAGCTGCCGTTCCCCAGCCGGAAGCCCGTGTAGGCTGACACAGGAACAGCCTTGTGAGCACTGGTGCTGCCGGGACCCCAACTGCCCCCGCTGTCCCCGACACTTACAGGAGCAGATGACGCTGCCAGAGCCGCTGCAGCCCGGGCTCTGGGCCGGACGCCGGGCACAGGCGCTGAGGAGGGGCTCGGTGCCATTGCACTGGAAACCCCCGTCCCAGAGCGATCCCGACACTGCCCCAAAACGGCCACTGTCGGCGATGGCGATCACCTCACCGCAGCCCAGCTCCCTGCACACCACCTGGGCCACCTCCGTGTCCACCTGATCCTCACAGACACCGACCCAGGCCCGGCCCTGACGCACCTCCAGCCGCCCGGCACAGGATCCATCGCCACCAACCAGCCGGGAAAAGCCTGTGGGAGCAGTGCAGGGCCAGTGACAAGCGATGTGCATGAACAGCCTCAAGCCTCCAGGCCCAGCTCCTACCTTGGCAGACAACGGCGGTGTTCAAGCCATGCATGCTGCCGTTATAGGGTCCCCAGCCACGGATCTCGCAGTCCCAGAGCGTGGCCTCGTCCCCTCTGCAGTCCACCAGGGCCAGGCTGACCAGCCCGTCCCCTACGCCAAAGCGCTCATGGGTGTAGTAGGCAGCGGAAGCCGAGCCACAGCCCAGCTGCTGGCAAACCACCTCGGCGTCCTCCATGTCCCAGTTGTCGTCTCCCACTGTGCCCCAGTGGCCCTGCAGCTTCACCTCCACCCTCCCGGCACAGGGACTGCCGCCGCCCGCCAGCCTCAGCTCCACGGCATCTGCACAGGGGCGCCGGCACGGCTCACACCAGCCCGCGGCGCCCCAGCACAAGGCGGCTGTGCCAGCACGGCCAGCGTGTCCCCTCACCTGTGCAGGTCACCCCCACATCCCGCTCGTGGCCGCAGAAATGCCGTCCCCATCCGAAGTTAGGACACTGCTCCAGCGCATCCTCGGTGCCGTTGCAGAAGAAGGGCTGCAGCCAGATCCGCCCGCTGCCCGGCCCGAACGGGGCGTGCAGGGACGCCCTGGCCACCCGGCCGCAGCCCAGCTGCCGGCACACCACCACGGCCCAGCGAGCCTCCCAGTCGAAGTCGAAGGCGCACACGGAGCCCCACTCACCGCCGTGCTTCACCTCCACGCGCCCGGCACAGCGCCCGCCGCCGCCCACCAGACGCAGCTCCCCGGAGCCTGCGGCACGGAGGCTGCTGAGCCGGGCCCGCCGCCGCCGCGGGCCCCGCTGCCGCCCGCCCGACACTCACCCCCGCACAGCCGCACGCACACGAGCAGCCCCAGAGCCAGCAGCGACCCCATGGCCAGCGGCCCCGGAGCCAGCGGAGCCACGGCACCTCTGCCAGCGCCCGAGCCAATGCACGCTGCAGCAGCAGCACCGGGGGCAGCAGCCTTTATCAGGCGCCTCATCTCCCGGCTGCGGGGCCGCGGCCTCCAATAACCTGCTCCGTGCCCAAATATGAGCCTCGCCTGCGCCTCTGCCGTCACACACCTCGCCACAGTGGGCTGCCACCCGGATGTCCCCGGGGGCAGACAGCCCCCCCACAGCACCTGCCCTGCCGGGGCCCCTCCCGCATCCCCCGGGGCTCCAGCGCTGCTGCTGCTGCTGCTGCTGGAGCCTGCCCAGAGCCCCCCTGATGGGGAGCACGGGCTCCAGCCCACATCCTACCGACAGCAGCATCCACACAACCACTTCTAGGCAAGGCACCTGCAAAGCTCAAAGGCCCACGCCCGGGGCGCTCCCCTCCCGGCGGCTCGGAGCCCCCGGGGGGGTGGCAGCAGCCCCCGGCTCTCGGCGGGGCTGCCAGCTGCCCGGTCCCTCGCGGCGGCGCTGCCACATGGCGCTGCTGCCGCAGCTGCGGCCCCGCGCTCGCCTCGCCCCAGGGCAGGAAGGAGGCGGTCACCCCCCGGCGGCTCCCGGCCTCGCCAGCGACCGCACGCTCCTCCCGACACCTGCGCTGCCGCCGACAGCGACGCGCCGCCGCCGCCCCGGCCCCCCGCAGCCCGCCAGCCGCGCACGGCAGGAAACGTCCCGGGCTCACCCTTCGCAGGACTCTCCGGCAGCGCATTCCCTACGCACCGATCCGCTTGCTCCGATGGCTCTGACACCCATTCACAGCTGCGGCTCCACTGATCCCCGCTGGCCCCAGACGTTCCCCAAACACCCACGGCCACACACTCGGAACCCACATTTCCTCGCCAGTTCCACTCCAGCTTTACCATGGCACATCCGCGGGTGACTCCCTCTCTAAATCCGAGTGCTGCTGCCGCAGGAACGCAGAAACAGCCCCGGCTGCTGCCTGCCAGGATTGTCCCAGGCAAAGAAAGAAGGCTTTGAGCCTCTCACATTCCAAGCACAAAAAGTCCACTCTAAACTCTCTCTTCCTCCCGGTCTTCCTCTCCCGCTGTCTCTCTCAGTGTCTCTCTCCTGGCCGGGACCTCGCTGTCCTCGGCCCTTTGTTATGCAAACGATCGGCACCTCCCGGACTCTCGTCCCGGGCTCCCGCGCAGAGCAAACGGAGCCGCTGGAACAGCAGCTGCTGCCCTCGTAGCGGCAGCGCAGCCATTGCCGCCCGGCACCACGTCCCGGTCCCTCGCTGTGCGGCGGCGGCAGGAGCTGCCCTGCCCCATCCCCCCGCGCTGCCGGGCCCCGCGGCACCGGGCCCTGTCCGGGCCTGCTCCGCTCACACACGCACGCACCGCACGGAGCCCGCACCGGGCCGGGCCACCCGTACCGGAGGGCACTGCCTGGGTGGGTGGCTGCCTGCCGGCCACGCCACAGCGGACAGGAGATCTCCGAGTGCACGGACACAACTCGGGGCCCTGAGGAGGCTCTGAGGGCTCTTACCGACGGTTCTCATTGGGCTGCGGGATTGCCGCCTAAGCAGCCCCTGCTGCTGCTGCTGCTGCTGCTGCTGCTGCTGCTGAGCACCTCAGCCGCTGCTCCGCCCTTCCCACCTGGAGCAGCTCAGCAAGCAGAGGCCAAAGCCCTCCTTCCCTCTTTCCCTCGCTCCCACAGGCTGGGCAGCTGCCGGCTGTCGGGCGCCTCCTGCCCGGCCCTGGCTGCGCGGCTGCTGCAGGGGCCCCGTCTCAGCTGCCTGGACCTGAGCGACAACGAGCTGCGAGCCCAGGGCGTCCTGCAGCTCTGCCAGCAGCTCCGGCATCCCGCCTGCCCGCTGAGGAGCCTGGGGTGAGTCGGGGCCCTGCCCCGGCCCCTTCCATGCCCGGCAGGCCCGAGACGGGCAGCGGAGGCCGCGGGACAGGCAGGGCCGCACCGGCACCGCGGCCGCTGCAGCACCTCCCTCCCCACAAGCTCCAACACCTTCTCCTCTGCTCCTGCCTCCTCCACGCCCAGGCTGAGCACGGACGGATTCAGCCAGGCCCTGCTGCAGGAACTGGACGCCCTCCGGGCCCTGCAGCCCGGCCTGAACATCGGGAACCTCCTGGAGCACGACGTGCCGCAGGCCGGGGCCATGGCCCGGCTGCCCTGCCACCGCGGGGTGCTGCCGGGGGGCAGGAAGGCACTGCCCTCCTTCAGGAGACCTCCCATCCTTTAGGAACATCCTTCCAACAACCAGAGCCACTCCTGGCCCGGCTCTCTGTGCTGAGAGTGGGGCTGAGCCTTCCTCAGCCTCGGGGCACAGGGAGGAGATCCTGCTGCATCTGCAGGGGGGCGGGATCCGGGATCTGCCCTCTCCCTTTTGCCCTCGTTGTTGCTGGCAGCAGTTGTATGCATTTGGCAGTGACAAATAAAGACTCTGCAGACAATTCCAGCCATCTCCCACTACTTCCCCCCCTCAGCCAACCATTGCCAAGCATGTGTCTGTGGTTCCAGTTCCTGCCTCATATCCTTGTGCCTGGCCGGTGTACCTGGGATGGAAGTGCCAGCCCGAGAATGATGTTCCAGGCCTGGGAGAGAGTCTCCTACAACTTTGGATTTTAATATGAAAAAAGGGAAAATCACAATGAAATCAAAGATAATCCCTGCACAGGAGCTCTTTTCCTGCAGCTCTGGACGGCGAGGGCTGACCTCTGTGGGCAGGGCCAGCCACCCCTGGGGACAGGGCCCCCCCACACTGCCACACAGGTGTCCCAAGGGCTGTGGCATGGCCAGGACATCCTCATGGCAACGTCCCCAGGGCGCTGCTGCCGACATCATCATAGTCCATGTGTCCAGGGGGCTGTTCCAAGGGCTCCCTGGTGGCTCCTGGGGGACCTGGAGGGGAGTAGATGCCACCTTGGGGACAGCACAGAAAGGTGCCTGAGGGCGCAGGCAGCTCCGTGTCCCCCTGACAGACCCCACCTGGGCTCTGGCCACAGCAGCCATGGATCTGCTGCTGGGGCCCTGCCCGCCCCCACAGACAAAGCCGGCCGGCCATGGAGTGGCTCTGCACAGGGGACAGGGCAGCTGGGAGCCCTCTCACCTGTGGGCAGCACACAGATCCACCTCTGCCGTGCCACTCCCTCGGAGATGTCCCCAGTGCTGGCAGCGGGGGGCTCCTGGGCCACATCCAGGACATCGTCGTAGCCATCCGGGGGTCCTTGCTCAGGCCAGGCAGGGGGATCTGGGAAAAGCAGAGGGGTCCATGGCAGTGACCAGCGGCCCTGGAGGGGCTCAGGCTGTGTCACCCCCTCCAGCCTTTCCATTTCGGTACGAGCTGGAGGCCCGTGGGTCCCACAGGGAGAGGTGAGGTTTCAGTGCACACTAACAAGGGGGGAAATGTCCCCTCAGTCCCCCCCAGCCCGGCTGTGTCCCTGTCCCCAGCTTTCCCTACTGGCCTCCTGCCCCGTGGCCCTACCTGGGGCTGCCTCAGTTTCACTCCCCTCCACGCTGTCCCCGGTGTCATACGGCAGCTTCTTCCCCCATCCCTCCAACAGGGAACCTGCAGGGCATAAATAGGGACTTGGGGGTGGCCTCACCGCCGGTGACAGAACCTCACAGCGCAGAGCGGGGCTGCTCTGGGACCGAGGGACACCCACAGCCCATGGCCAGCAGCCCCAGCTGAGCCACCAGGAGCCACAGCTGCCCTCGGGCTCTCAGGCAGAGCCTTCACTGCGGGCACAGCTGGGGCACAAGGGCTGCACCCACCTGGGGGAGTGGGCACCTCCTGGTACTCGGGCATGGCTTTGTAATCCAGCTCCTCGTAGACAGCGTTGGAGATGGCATCTGCAGCTCTGCCAGGGCCTGCAAGGAGATGCAGCACTTACCTGGGGTCCTGGGTACTCTGGGGGCACCGGGATCACCCCTGGCCCCCTTCTGAGCTGTTCTACAGGCCTGGGGCCCCTGGACCCCCCAAACGGGATCTGTCCCCACCCCCACCCACCGGGACTTACCTCGGCGCCAGGCACGGGCACGGCACAGCAGCAGGGCCAGGGCACCCAGGGACAGGCACAGCAGCGTCCCCAGCACCACGCACAGCACAGTGGGCACGGGCACAGACCCCACGGCCACTGCCCGGGGCCGCCTTCTGGGGACACCTGTGGGGACACAGGCAGGCAGTGAGGCCAGGGAGAGCCCAGCCAGCCTGCTCTGGGGGATGCAGGCACGGGCAGAGCTACCTGTGCTGGTGGCACCCTCCGGATATGGGGTAGTGTGTCCCTCAGTGGTGCCATCACTGTGCTCCTCACACTCCACATAGGCGTGCCCGCCTGGGCTGCAGCTCTGCAGGTGCCAGGGTGCCGAGGGGCACTGCCAGAGCGAGCGGGCCCCGTCCTCACAGCCCACCCAGGCCAGCCAGGCCTCGGTCGGCTCCTGGGCGGAGACAGCTGTGGGCGAGACCCAGCGCCCACAGCCCAGCTGGCGGCAGACGGTGGCGGCAGTGCCGGGGCTGGTGCCGTTGGTGCACACGCGGCCCCAGGTGCCGTTGTAGGAGATCTCCAGGAAGCCCCGGCAGCGCCCAGGGCCCCCTGCCAGCCGCACGGAGAGCTGCTCTGCAAGGGGGACAGCGGGGTCACGGCACGGCCAGGAACCCGCCGGCGCCTCTGCCGGGCCCTGATCCGGGGCTGCCCCGCACTCACCTGAGCACACGGCCCCTGCCCCGCCGCCGCGCCCGCACTCGCGCCGTTCCGTGCGCCCGCACTCCCACAGAGACTCCTCGGAGCCGGAGCACTCGGGGCTGTACGGCCACAGCGGCCCCGGGCCGCCACCCAAGCGCGCCCAGCCCGGGGCCTGCAGCGCCGTGCCACAGCCCAGCTCCCGGCACACAACGGCCGCGTCCTGCAGCTCCCAGCCTTCCTGGCACACCCAGCTCCAGCTGCCACCGGAATAGACCTCCACACGCCCGGCACAGCGCCCAGAGCTCCCCACCAGCCTCACCTGCAGGCTGCCTGTGGGCACGGAAGGAGTGGGCTGGGGTGCCTGCTTGGGGCACCGGCAACTCCTGCCCTTCTCGGGATACCCACCTGAGCAGACAAGGTAGGTCCCATGATCGATGCGAGCTGATGCTGTGGTCATGCCCCTGTAATCATGCCCAAAATAATTCTCATGTATAGTCCTACTGGTCAGATCAGTGGTCATGTGCACAATATCTTTGATCACACTTTCCAAGATATTTCTCTCTTCCCTGTTGATATTCAGAAGGAATGACTTCCCAGGGACACCATGACTTTTCTCCAGTCCTCCACAGCCCAGCTTCCAGCACACATTGCTCAAATTCCGTATGAGCAAAACCTCTCCTGGCACACGGCGCCAGGCCCCGGTACTTGTCTTCGAATCCAGAAACCCCTCGCACCGGGTCTCACCCTTCACCAGCCGCAGCGACTCTACAGCGCCTGTAAAATGGCAGCGCTCAGCCCTTCATTAAAAAATAAGCGAACATCATCGCAACCCGTCTCCACTTTTGGGAGTGTCCCAAAGGCCCTTAAGGCTGCTCACAGAGCACCCGAACCCACCTGAGCAGTTGACGGCGGCGGCGTTCCCGGGGGCACAGGGCGGCTTCCCCAGCACGGCCACGGGGCACTGGCCCGGGTGCCGCTCGCTCCCGCTGCAGCCGAAGGCGTCCGGCCGCAGCGGCCCCTCCCCGCTGCCGAAGGAGCCTCCCGGCAGCACGCTGAGGGCGCGGCCGCAGCCCACGTGGCGGCACAGGACGTGCGCATCGGCCAGGTCCCACTCGCTGGCGCACACGGAGCCCCACGTCCCCCTCACTGCCACCTCCACTCGCCCGGAGCATCCCGACCTGCCGTTCCCCAGCCGGAAGCCCGTGTAGGCTGCCACAGGAACAGCCTTGTGAGCACTGGCGGTGCCGGGACCCCAACTGCCCCCGCTGTCCCCGCCACTTACAGGAGCAGATGACGCTGCCAGGGCGGCTGCAGCCCTGGCTCTGGGCCGGACGCCGGGCACAGGCGCTGAGGCGGGGCTCGGTGCCCTTGCACTGGAAGCCCCCGTCCCAGAGCGATTCCGACACTGCCCCAAAACGGCCACTGCCGGCGATGGCGATCACCTCACCGCAGCCCAGCTCCCTGCACACCACCTGGGCCACCTTCATGTCCACCTGATCCTCACAGACACCGACCCAGGCCCGGCCCTGACGCACCTCCAGCCGCCCGGCACAGGATCCATCGCCACCAACCAGCCGGGAAAAGCCTGTGGGAGCAGTGCAGGGCCAGTGACAAGCAATGTGCATGAACAGCCTCAAGCCTCCAGGCCCAGCTCCTACCTTGGCAGACAACGCCAACGTCCGAGACATGGATGCTGCCGTTATAGGGTCCCCAGCCACGGATCTCGCAGTCCCAGAGCGTGGCCTCGTCCCCTCTGCAGTCCACCAGGGCCAGGCTGATGAACCCGTCCCCTACGCCAAAGCGCTCGTGGGTGTAGTAGGCAGCAGAAGCCGAGCCACAGCCCAGCTGCTGGCAAACCACCTCGGCGTCCTCCATGTCCCAGTTGTCGTCTCCCACTGTGCCCCAGTGGCCCTGCAGCTTCACCTCCACCCTTCCGGCACAGGGACTGCCGCCGCCCGCCAGCCTCAGCTCCACGGCATCTGCACAGGGGCACCGGCACGGCTCACACCAGCCCGCGGTGCCTCAGCACGAGGCGGCTGTGCCAGCACGGCCAGCGTGTCCCCTCACCTGTGCAGGTCACCCCCACATCCCGCTCGTGGCCGCAGAAATGCCGTCCCCATCCGAAGTTAGGACACTGCTCCAGCGCATCCTCGGTGCCGTTGCAGAAGAAGGGCTGCAGCCAGATCCGCCCGCTGCCCGGCCCGAACGGGGCGTGCAGGGACGCCCTGGCCACCCGGCCGCAGCCCAGCTGCCGGCACACCACCACGGCCCAGCGAGCCTCCCAGTCGAAGTCGAAGGCGCACACGGAGCCCCACTCACCGCCGTGCTTCACCTCCACGCGCCCGGCACAGCGCCCGCCGCCGCCCACCAGACGCAGCTCCCCGGAGCCTGCGGCACGGAGGCTGCTGAGCCGGGCCCGCCGCCGCCGCGGGCCCCGCTGCCGCCCGCCCGACACTCACCCCCGCACAGCCGCACGCACACGAGCAGCCCCAGAGCCAGCAGCGACCCCATGGCCAGCGGCCCCGGAGCCAGCGCAGCCAGGGCACCTCTGCCAGCGCCCGAGCCAATGCACGCTGCAGCAGCAGCACCGGGGGCAGCAGCCTTTATCAGGCGCCTCATCTCCCGGCTGCGGGGCCGCGGCCTCCAATAACCTGCTCCGTGCCCAAATATGAGCCTCGCCTGCGCCTCTGCCGTCACACACCTCGCCACAGTGGGCTGCCACCCGGATGTCCCCGGGGGGAGACAGCCCCCCCATAGCACCTGCCCTGCGGCGGCCCCTCCCGCATCCCCCGGGGCTCCAACGCTGCTGCTGCTGCTGCTGCTGCTGGAGCCTGCCCAGAGCCCCCCTGATGGGGAGCACGGGCTCCAGCCCACATCCTACCGACAGCATCCACACAACCACTTCTAGGCAAGGCACCTGCAAAGCTCAAAGGCCCACGCCCGGGGCGCTCCCCTCCCGGCGGCTCGGAGCCCCCGGGGGGGTGGCAGCAGCCCCCGGCTCTCGGCGGGGCTGCCAGCTGCCCGGTCCCTCGCGGCGGCGCTGCCACATGGCGCTGCTGCCGCAGCTGCGGCCCCGCGCTCGCCTCGCCCCAGGGCAGGAAGGAGGCGGTCACCCCCCGGCGGCTCCCGGCCTCGCCAGCGACCGCACGCTCCTCCCGACACCTGCGCTGCCGCCGACAGCGCCGTGCCGCCGCCGCTGGTTCTGCCCCGCTGTGAAGCCACATTCCGGGGGGGGCACAGAGCCCACTTGATTTTGTGGGGACCCACCTGCGTTATCTTGGATCAAGCACCACCGAAAAACAAGGGGTGTAAGAGGGGGGAGCAGGAGCTATCTTGAGTTCTCGGCTGTGTGTGAGGGTGGCATTGGGTCTGAGCCACCCCCAGCAGTGCTGAGCAGTGACAGTGCCAGCAGAACAGCGTACTCCCTACACGGTCACTCCTGCAGCCGCGTAGTCACCGCTGTGAAAAACGCCAATCTCTTGTTTTTAAATTTTTAAAAGTTTAACAGTAATAAAATTATTATAAAAATAGTAACATAATTACAGTAATAATAATTTGGAGAATTTGAATTAGGACAATATGAGACAATAGAGACAAAAGTTACGGACGTCCAGGTACCTTTTACTGGGCAGCACAAGCCCGAAAAGGGGCTACGTTAGCAGAGGATTAACCCTTAAAAACAACTGCCTGTTGCATATTCATACACTTCATACATGATGCATACATTCCATTCAAATACAGGATTCCGTCTGGTCATTGTCAACTTCTTCCTCCGAATCCTAACAGAGCCTTCGAGGCAGGAAGAAGTTAGTTTCTTCTGATAAGAAGACAATGAATTATTTTTCTCTGAAAGATTTAGGTGTCCTGTGACTGCATCTCCCTGCAAGTCCTTTCTTCACAAAAAAAAAAGTATCCTATATAGCATAGTTTCTATTTTAATATCTTTTATAACCTAAAACTATATTTCACACACTACTTAAGAGAATTAATACAGCATTACTTTGTAACACAACACATATAATATTCATTTTAATATTTGCGAAAAGCCAGTCATAAAATACGCGTTTTTCACAACCGCCATGAGCCACCAGCCTTTCTGCGGGACTGGGGACCTGCCAACTGCCAGTGGCCGCGTGTCACCCCAGGACATCTCGTGAGCTGCCCTAAACCCTGTTTAGCCCTGAGGTGTCGCCCCTAAGGTTTCGCACGGCGCTGCTGCGGCTGCCTGTCCTTCCTGTCCGCACGCAGACCCAGCCGGGGCTGCCGGGAGGGGACGATCCGGCTGCGCTCTCCCCGCGGCGGCCGGGAACCCTCACAGCGGGTCCCCGCGACATTATCAACCTCCCACTCTACACCGCGGCCTTTGCATGTAGGCGGCAAAGTGTCACAGGAGGTTTCATTCCGGAACGCCTCCCGCGTCTCCTGGAATGACACCCCAGGAATGTGGGGGGAGACGGGAAACCAGGAGAACGACGGGGGAACCGGGAGCGCGGCTGCCCCTGCTGGACACGCCCCCCGTCCCTGTGAGCACGCCCCATTCCCGGAGCCCCCGCCCCGCAGCGCCACCCCCGGGCCGGCAGGGGGAGCCCCGCGCAGCCGCGACGATCCGGAAAGAACCGAGCGGCGGCGGAGGCGGCCGAGCCAGGGCTGGCGGCGCGGGCGGAGCGGGCGCGATGGCGCAGCAAGTCGAGCAGCTGCGGGCGGACGGCGTGGACAAGGAGGTGCTGCGGGAGGGCACCGGGCCGCTGCCAGACTTCCGCGACGGCACCAAGGTCAGGTCTGCGGGGGGACGGGCGGGGTGGGGGATGTGGGAAGCGGAACGCGGCGGGGCAGGCGCGCATGCGCGCTCTCCCCCCCTCCCCCCCCGCCTGCTTCTCCATGGTGACGCCGCGGGCTCCTCCTGCTCCTTCAGGCCACTTTCCACTACCGGACGCTGCGGTGCGGCGATGAGGAGACGCCGGTGGACGACAGCAGGGCGCGGGGGAAGCCCATGGAGCTCATCGCCGGGAAAAAGTTCAAGCTGCCGGTGTGGGAAGCGGCGCTGCGAACCATGCGGCCCGGCGAGCGCGCACGCTTCCGCTGCGACACCAAGGTGGGCGGGACGGGACCTGCCGGGGGCGCGGTTTGTGGCTCGGGGGCGCGGCCTGTGCAGTGGGCGGTGACTTCGTGTGGTGGGCGCGGGTGGCGGGACCCCCGGTGCGCTCCAGGCGCGCGGTTCGAGGCTGGAGCATCCTTATATCTTTCCCCCTGCCCTCCTCAAATTCCGGCTCCCTTCCCTCCCGCAGCACGTGGTGCTTTACCCACTGGTGTCCAAGAGCCTGCGGAACATCGCAGCAGGGAAGGACCCGCTGGAGGGGCAGCGGCACTGCTGCAGCATTGCCCAGATGCACGAGCACTACTCCCTGGGGTACCCCGACCTCGACGAGCTCCAGAAGAACCCCCAGCCCCTCATCTTTGACATCGAGGTGCTGAAGGTGAGGTGCCGGCATGGGGAGCTCGGGGTGAAAGTGTCCAGAAGACACACAGATGTGGCATGTGGGATGTGGTTTAGTAGTGGCCCTGACAGTGCAGGACTCGAGGACTCTAGAGGTCTTCTCCGACCTGAACGATTCCATGATCCTGTTCTCTGATTGCATGATGGGGTGCTGGCAGGTGGAGCCACCCGGCTCCTACCAGCAGGACCCATGGGCCATGACAGATGAGGAGAAGCTCCAGGCTGTGCCCCAGATCCACAAGGAAGGCAACGAGCTGTACCGGCAGGGCAAGGTGTCTGAGGCAGCTGCTAAATACTACGATGCCATTGCCTGTCTCAAGAACCTGCAGATGAAGGTGGGTCTCCCAGATACACACAGGCATCCTTGAGAATGCAGGGCTTGAGAGCTGCCACTCACTCTCTCTGCTCTATCTGCCACAGGAGCAGCCAGGCTCTCCAGACTGGATTGAGCTCGACCAGAAGATCACACCCCTGCTCTTAAACTATTGCCAGTGCAAGCTGCAGTGTGAGGAGTACTACGAGGTGCTGGACCACTGCTCCTCCATCCTCAACAAGTACGAGGGTAAGGAGCCACGAGCCACCCCAGGTGGCTCTGGAGGGTACCAGGACACCCCCAACCCTCTGCTGACCCCGGCTCTCTCCCCACAGACAATGTCAAGGCCTACTTCAAGCGAGGCAAGGCCCACGCAGCCGTGTGGAACGTGGCTGAGGCTCAAGCTGACTTCGCCAAAGTCCTGGCGCTCGACCCCTCGCTGCGCCCCGTGGTGTCCAAGGAGCTGCGGAGCCTGGAAGCGCGGCTGCGGGAGAAGGACGCCGAGGACAAGATCCGCTTCAAGGGCATCTTCTCCCAGTAGAGTCCGTGGCTGCAAGGGAGAGCCCAGTGCTCTCGGGACAGGTTCTTTTAGATATTCCACATGTGGAATGGTCATGGATGTTTATTAATGTTTAATACAGATTTTACTTATTTGAAGTCAGTGGAAATGGCCCCGGAGCTCGCCACAGCCTGGGGACACAGCCAGGGCCTATCGTCACGCCAGGGATACGTGGGTGACAAGAGCCTGCTGCTTCCTGCCAACTTTTATCACTTATTTGATGTTTTTATACTTTATGGTGGCCATGGAAGGGCGGCACTGAGCCTCGGCCCCAGCTCCAACCCGTTCATGCCTGTTCTCCGTGCCACGCCATTGTCACTTATCCAGGCTGCTGCTATCATCCCAGCCCAGTGTCTCCTCTTGTCATGTCAGTGTCGGGAATATTTTATATAGAGTAACAGCTTGTTCCTGCTATCTCTATAAATCTGATCATGCTATGCCAAGATAAACTTAAGTAAAACCAGTCACACCCCCTGGTCACTACAAAAATTTGCTGCTAGAGGTAAAATCAGGGGAAACCAAGTTGGAGAGGGGGAAGGTATCAGCATCGGCACAGCCCACACACCCCAGGCTCTTTTCCCTGTCCTAAATTGCTCGTGACCCAACTGCTGTGCCCCACAGCCACCTCCCTGTGGGACATGGTGTCCCTGGAGGCTGCCCAGGGCTTTTCCAGTGGATGGGAACCCTGCAGCCACAAGCACAGAGCAGACTCGTGGGTGCTGGCACCTTGTCATAACATCTCTTTATTCAACACCAAAACGAAAGGGGGGGGAACAGAGGAACCACTCTGGAACCCCAACCCAGCCCTGCGCCGTGACACCGGACGGAAATAAATAGGTGGGGAGGTGCCACTCGCTCTGGGGCACAGCCACAGCCCCCAGTTCTGCACAGGGATAATGACCCTGGGGTGCAGACCCCACTGGGCACTGCCCAATGGCCCCAAAGGACCAGAGGGGACGGGGCTGGGGGCAGCAGGGAGGACCCAGGGTGGCCCTGCCCTGAGGGGATCACTCTGGTCCTCTGGGGAGCTCTGAGCCTTCTCCCAGCCCCCTGGCCTCAGGGGACCCAGCACCCTCATCTCCTTGCGATGGCCTCATGGCCCAGCACCAGCTCTGTCCCCAGGTGCTCCTTGCTGGGAAATCAGGGATGTGGCAGAAGGGGGACATGGCCGTGCCACCCTCACTCCTCACCCTCCAGCTTGAGGCTGATGCTGCGGGGCTTGGTCCGGGAAAAGCCGGGGGGTGCTGAGGGGGGCCCCCCATCCCGCTCTGCCTGGCTGGAGCCCCGGGAGCGCAGGAGCTGGCTCTGCTTCCGCAGGAAGTCGACAGGCGCCGGGCAGCCATAGGTGCCTTTGCCCAGCACAGGCCGTGG